TCTTCTGCAATCGTCTGAATAAAATGAATTCATTATATCATACAATAAAACATTGTAGTAATCTAGTTTTTGTTAAAAGACATTTTCTGATTTGGGAAATCCTATAGAAATGATAAAATGATGATTGTGTGACTTGTATAATATGATTTGCTATATTCAAATGTTTATTAAACATCACACACAGATTACGAACATCACCTCTGTCAGGAATTAAGTATTATCCAATTCGTGGGGGAATCAGAATTTAATTTATTTTCTCAGGATTTAGTTTTAGTTTATTGCAGTGAATCCAATTCCAATTCACTGACCCATTCCAATAATGTCATGAGTTGAAATAAAATATATAACTGGTATCATCGGCATAGAGTGATATGATAGTTCATGATGCTATATACATGCTAGGAAAAAGTGGCCCGATCACAGATTCCTGGGAAATACCACAACATACTCATAGAATATGTTCGAACCTCAATCGTAACATACTGATATCTATTAAATATGATCTTAATTGAACCAATATCCTCCCGAAATACCGAAACATTGTTCAAGCTGTTTTAATAAAATCCCACAGCCAACAGTATTCAATGCTGTACTCGAATCTAAAAGTAATGAATTTAAAACATTTTGTTGTATGGACATTAATATATCATTTTGTACTAATAATTTGTACCATTCAAGATGCATGACCCTGGGTGACCCCACAGACTATATGAATTGTTCAATTTAAATTGCGGTAGTCGTCGCGCCGCGCATGCGCGATATATATGAGTCTCATACAAACAAAGATGGCGACTTTGACTATTGCACAGATCAACTAGTACAAACTGATGCGGTTACCAAACATCAATTAGGTATTTTTTAGGTGATTGGAAGGTATCGAAGGAGTCACGGACGATAATTAGTGCAAGTCGCGCCCAGATCAAACTTCATATTTTTATTAGAAGAGCGCATTGAATTGTGGGAAAATCAATGTTTATCAACACAAATGTCTCACATGCGCAGCGCGACGACCACCGCCCTTATATGCCCGGCTCATTCCATCGTCACGTGATTTGTTCCACCTTATTAAGAATGTCTTTAAAACAATGTCCAGCATTATAATACAATGAACAAACAAACAAGTCACTCACTGTCATGTCAGCTAGCTACACACATGGAGCTCTATGCTAGACTAAAATATAAAAATGAAGCAGAGCATCATGGGTATTCTCTAGTTTACTGGACACGAACTACAAAATGACGAGTGGCTACTTTAAACTGAAATCTACCTTTTAACATAAACTTTTAAAACAATTTAAAACACAAATTATGCAAAGTACATATCTTCATTCACAATTAAATGCAAAATTATATACTTTGAGTGTATTTGAAGACTAAATATTAGTTTTCTGTCACTATTAAAATGAGAAGTTTGTTTATATTAGGTAGCCCAATGGCAGGCAGAGAGACAAAGAATTTAACATTTTACTCGCTGTTTTGTTTAACTTTTTCTGCTGTTACATATTCATGAACATGTCACGCTGATTTTACGTGTATAAGTGTTGTGTTCTTTGGTGAAAATTCAGTTGATCAGCATTTTAAGGAAATGTGTTGTAAACGAAAATTCAGTAGCGAATGACTTGTTTGTTTGTTTGTTAATGGTATTAAAATGCTTGACATTGCCTTTAAGTACCTTTATTATAAGTTGTATATACCAATTCGTATTTACCGAACAAACGACCATGTTTGAAGCTATGTATTTTGGGGCCAAGAAAAACTCATCGCATCGACTACAACTGTGCTCAAACAAAGAAATTAGTGTTCACCATTTGTGGATTTGGGTGATTACTTTATTATTATATGCAACAAATGTGATTGGTACACGACAATAACAGATATACCTCAGGCAAAGTGCAACATAACTGTGCAATTATTATGTGCGGGGAGATTGAAGGCTAGTTGGTCATGTGCACTCTTCAATCGTTGAAACAGGCTCGCCTCATGTTTATAAACGTTCTGTGATGACCAATAGTGCTAGATATCTTATGTTCCTGTTTATTGAGTTTAGTCGGGGAGTCTAACAGTAGCCAAAAGTCAAGTTCCTAACCCATATACGAGCATGGTCGACACATGCATTCACTGGCTGATTCAAACTCGACTGTTCTGGTTCCTCCAAGGTTTGGACAATATAGCCTCACACTGTGCGTTGACGAAGATACTGGACTACAACATTGACAGCTGTATTCGATTCTCAATGAGTTTCTCAGTGCAGCATATGATTCGCAGGATCCTCTGCACCCAACTGCTAGGACTCGTTTCGACTTACATCCGGGAATATTAATTACTCTCATACCACTCTGTGTACTGCACAGTGGTGATCCTATATCTACACATATAACACTCAGGATAAGAACGATTTTACCCCAATTTTGCATGATGGGCGTCGGTATCTGTATATTCTACAAGAAATAGAAAAAAAGAAATGTCTTGAAAAGCTAGTAGTGTTAGTGTCGGTGGGGTGTACTACTAGTTCTTGGATTGGAAAATGACAGCCCCAAAGTAGAAGAATTCATAGCTATAGAATACGCAGACATATTGGAAATGAAATGCTGTTATTTAAAAAATATTGTAACAAATAATAAATACCCATATTTGTTGAAGTTGTTCACTTCTCTGTAGCGTGCCAAATATCTTGATGAGATTTCGTTGAAAGCGAGCGATAACCACATGATTATTTTTCTCGCTTAAAATTGTGTTCTACCCCCCCTACCGTCGTAACTACTGCTCCAATGGATAATGTACTGATTACATCACGCGAGATTTACGACATACTAGTATACACCACCTGGTTTATGTGCTGTGACCGTGGTTTTACAAACTTGTATAGCAACTTAGTATGGGTGTATGGGGGGGTCACGTGGTACTCTCTAATTGCATCTATGGTATAATATAATGATAACGTGACTATTCAATTGATTGAACAAAAGGACGTATAGATATCGATGGCAAATGAATAGTAGCAGGTGAATTCAAGAAACCATTGATGTGTAACAAACACACATACATATTTTGAAGCCAATAACTCACAAGAATGAATATCAATATACAGTTTCGATATTAATTCATTCAAATTCATGGTAAATATGCATTCACGGAGCAACAAAATCAGAATCTGTGTTTTTCGTACATTCTGAAAAAAAACCATTGGAATATGAGTCAATCAATTTCAATCGGTTCATGGACAGCATTTCATTGATATATCCGAATATTTGACGAATGTGGTTGTTTTTTGTTCCTGTAGTTCAGGAGAAGTTCTGCTTCATAAAACTCAGGATATTTATCATTAGCGGAGGAACAAAGGGCATATTTCTTGAAAAGATTGAATTATTTTGGACAGACAGAAAGCATGTAATCAGGTGTACATAGTTAACTATCTAGCCATGTTGTTGTTGTATTAGTGTCATGAATTTGTATTTGCGTATCTGTTGACCGACTTAATTAGCTGATTATTAGCGAATTGCTGTGTTATGTCTGTCATCGTTTAGGCCTATTTGAAGTTTTGGACGGAACTTGGCTTAGTGATTTGGAACTAATTACGAGATAACCGTCGCTATTCAGACTACTAATTCTGACAGTTGGTATTCGTAGTTATTAATGTAGTGAACGATTAATCAAAAGTTATGACGTATTCAGTACTTAGTGTGATTGGCTTTATGATTGAAGGTTACGCCTTAGAGTCTTTTTACTGTTTTGTAATTGGTTAGAGTTTTGAAAATGAATAAAGAGAGTTTTAGTTGGTCTTGGGGAGTACTCCACGAGAGGCAGTCGTGGTCCAGTCCTGGAGAGCCTTGGGGCGAGTCTAAGCACAGTCTTGGGCTAGTCTTGGGCCAGCCTTGCGATAGTCTTGGGGACTTTTCCCCAGGGCGCTGTGTCTTGTAGAGTACTCGACTGATCGAAAAAGACGAGAGTTGAAACGTATTTCGTTGTGGGTGTCTTATTTGACTGTAAGGTTTAAGAGACTTTCCTGATCCC